CCCTTGCCCACGGTGAACGAGCGGGACGCCGAAAACGTGAGTGGCGCGGCTGCGGGGCGCGCTGCGGGTGGCCGGGCCGGCCTCGCGCCCTGCAGGGGACACCCGGTCGCCGCCGTCCCCACCCGGGCGCGGGGTCGTCGGGCGTGGGCGGGTCGCCGCGGTGGGCGCGCTCGTGGGAGCCAGCTTAGGGACGCGCTGCCTCGTTCCGCTGAGTGCTCGGGGGCTAAGTGGGGGTGACGCTCGCGCCCCAGCAAGCGCCCACCGCGGACCTTGGTGGCCCTACGTCGCCGCACAGCTCTGCTCCGAGAAGTTGCTGGGCGTGGGTCCCGCGGGACGGAGCTGGCGGCGCGCGGCGGGGTAAGCCCCGCGCCGCGCCCGGGACCCCGCGGCCGCCGGCCGGGCGAGGTCCGCTCGGAAACGCTCGCAGCCTGCGAGTCCATAAAAGGAGTCGTGGGGTTTTTGTGCGGATCTTTAAAAAATTCCGGGACCAGCCTTGTTAGGGAGTGTGACACCTTGTAGTGAAGATTCCATGGAGGAGATCCTGGACTCCGGCCTGGTGTCCACCTCAACTTCAGCACTAGGGTGAAAAGTGCTCCGGTCTAATTATTGGTCGTGTTCCGTAAATCATGTAGCAAGTAAGTTGTAAAGAAACTTCACTGGCCTTTCATTTTTCATTAGAAGTGTTATGAGGTAATTGCTGGCAAGAAAATGCCCTCTTTTAGAGTAAGCTTCCTTGCTCTTGAGAGTTTTCCTGCTTTTCATTGTAGCCCAGCGGTATCAGGTGCCTTGGTTTTAATCTTCAGAATGCCACTTGCTTGCTGGATAGCTATTGGGTAATTTAATCTGTGTAAACCTTATTCTAAGCACCCATTTAGTACATTAATGTATAGTATTAAATGTTCTTTAACCTTATAAATAGCACAGCAGTATATGTTTTTCAACCAGAGATGGATTAGGAAATCAGAGTGAGTGACAGAAAAATCGTAGGTTAGGTAAGTCTGTAGACTTTCTCATTCTTTTGAGACACCTGCATGTTGCTTCTGCTGGTCTTGAGCTCCTGGTGCAGATGGGCCTTCCTCATCCTTGGGGGCAGGCAGGCCACTGGGCCCTCCTGTGACCTGGGCGCAGACGGGCCTTCCTCATTGTTGGGGGTAGGCATGGCCACTGAGTCCTTATGTGACTTGCTTCTGGCTTGGTTCATTATTCAGTTCTTTGGTTAATTTGTTGAGTACTTTTGTAGTTTTTTTTTTTTTTTTTTTTCCCAGTGTGTTCCTCTTTATTCATTTTCAGAGTACAAACTTAAACTTGGATAGGCTGAACTAACCCAACCCACCTCTGGGAGGTACACTCAACATGCTGTATAAAGTATAACATCCAATTTATTATTTCTTTCTCAAGAGTTTTCTTCAGTCCATTAAGACTCAGCTCCCCTTACATGGGCTTTGGTGGAGGTTGTGGGGCAGCACCAGCAGGTCTAAATCGGGGTGGAGGAGTTCGGTCCTTGTGGGCTTCACGAGATCGATTTCTGACCACTTTGCTGTGACTGGCACAACTCACACAATAATGCAGCTTCACATACAGCTTGGGAAGCACATGACCGTCGAAGACACTCGCTTCAGAAATGTCCCTGATGGTGGCGGCCTCCACTATGTTCCGAATGACAAACTTCTTAATAGCCTTATCCTTGGGTACGCACTGGGCGCAGTTTGTGCAGCGAATAGGCTGCACATGACCGCGGCCCTTTTTGGCACGACCGTTGTTCCTTCTTTTTTTCCGTCATCTTGGAAAGGAGGACCCGAAAGAGCTAGTTTTTGTTTTGTATGTTGTTAGAATTACTTTGTTCTTTGAATGCAACCTACAAGCCAGGTGTAGTGGCACAGACTTGTAATGCCAGCACTCTGAAAGGCTAAGACAAAAAGACTCCAAGTTCAAACATAATCTGGACTATTTAGGGAGGCACTGTCTCAAATTTTTAAATAAACAAGGGGGGCAGGTAGAATGTAGCTCAGTGCAAAAATCCTGAATTTAATCCCCAGTACTGCCAAAAAGAGCCACTCAAAACAAAACCCTGATGTGTGGAGTATGTTTTTTCTTCATTTTCTTTTTTTTTTTCCTTTCCTTTCCTTTTTTTTTTTTAAATTTTATTTATTTGTGTGGGGGGGCAGCTCAGCCCACCAGGGGCGGGGCTGGCTGGCATGTGGTGCTGGGGGATCGAACCGTGGTCCCTGTGCTTTGCTAAGCTTGTTCTAAGTAGGTGC